TTTAATTACTTTTCACTTGAAAAACAAAACCTCATATCTTAAAACAAAACTAAGAAAATTCTTATCTCTCCAGCAGTCTTATCTGTACACATACATATGCCTCATACAGTATATTCACACTCCGTTCTAGGATAAACACTCTAAAAACTGGCTTGTTTCCTTTATAGTATATGTAGAACTTGAACTCTCTTGACACTATCCTCCCTCTTTCTTCCTCATCTGTGCTGTCTTTTTCCACACTTGCTGATTTCTGTCTCTCAGCTTCCTCTGCTTCTTTATATTGCTTCGCCGTCTCCCCAGAGCACAGTTTACAACACATTTACTCACGTTCACACCTTCTCCTTCCCTTGAGATTGCTTTCATTTTCGCTACCGTCAGAACCCACACCTTTTCCCCCACAGCTCTTCCTTCTGTCCCTTCCCCCTCACCAGCCATCTGTATGCATTGGTTTGTCATGTTACATGTAACGTACACCGCCTTTAGACACAACGCACAATCACACGTACAGAAATGCCCCCTGACTTCCAGGGCAGTGCCGTGAACCTAAGGAGCAGATGGGTTCAGGACCGACTGAGCTGTGCTCTGACATAACTGCCTGTGATGCTCAGAGGAGGGGACGATGTCCTTTGCACAGTCTCTCATCTAAATCTAGCCACCCACTGACTTGCCGATTTAGAAACTTGGCAACTGGTTGAAAAATCTGGCTACTCCAGGGCTAGAACACAGGCTGCAGCAGACAACCCAGACTTTTTTGATGCAGTCTTTCATTAAGTTTGAATACTTACAAGGTGGAAACGCATACTGTAGGTTTGTAAATGAAAATATTGACAATAAAAAAAATCTCATTTTCAGTTTGATTTTGTAACTATTTCATGCCAGGAAATATATGATTTTATAAATATTGTTGTAATTAAAATTGATGAACTCTTCATTTGCTGTTTTTTATCATCAGCATGACTGGATAAATGGGAGGAGTTTGACTGAAGATAAATAAAGTGACAAGCATTGACTCACTGACCCTAGAATGACAAAGAACTATAACAGAAATAGAGGTCCCTGGGATTTAACCAATTGAGATGTTTAAAGAACAAAATAGATCCCAGATTTTTTACATTGTGCTGCTATTTAACATCATTTTTCTCTTCTACACAACCATTCCCTCTGAAGCAGTGCTGTAGTAATACAAATTATTAGTGGTGGAAACTAAGTCCATTTACTGATGTGCTCCATTTTATACTACTGCTACAGTATAATTCTGCTCCAGTATACTGAAGGGGTAAATATTGTACATTTTATGCATTTGCACCAGCTAACTAGCTACTTTTCAAATTAAAGCTTTACATAAAAAAAACATTATTTTTAGCTGTGTTTTCCCCCCAACAAATTTGGGTTATGCTCTCTGGCAAAATAGCAACATGTAGCTGAGACCCATTGTCACATTTCAGAGGGCTTAGCAGTGTCGCCAAAGAGACTTCTCAGACAGTTTCATTCAAACAAACATCCAGGGTGACATATACTCCCTGATTCATGGACGTCATCAAGAGATGGTGAGGGCTTCAGAGACAAAATAGTTTCAGGCATGGTTTTAGGACTTATTTTGCTTTGAACCATTAATTTACATATTATCTGACATTAACACATGTCCGGTGCTTACTGTCAGGTTCCGTGAAGGACAAATGATTCTGTTAATTCTGATTTGACCAAGTCTGTTCATAACATCGCCACATGCTGTATGAAAACATCAGAAAGTGATGGAACTTGGCAGAAACACAAATCCAGCTTGCACTGACTGTGATCACCCTCTTCTGGTTAGCAGAATGAACTGCCTGTAGCTCTGAGGCTGTGGTGGCTGAGTGAATGAGCAAGATCATGAAGCGGACACAAAGCCAAACGCCCCTTTCTCCACTGGAGGAACAGATGGTGGCTCCTCAGTGCACAAGCTAGGGAGGTGCTGCCACCAGACGCTCCAAGCTGGGTGTACAATCACACACAAACTCAGACACATTAACACTGTTGTGTGAGCACATATCTGTGAGCACACTATTCTAAACAAGTGCTGTACACTTGTATAGATGCTGAGATGCACACGGACATTTGTCTGCCCAGCATGAATGAAAAAGCTTGACCTAAATTCTTTTATTTCTCTTCTCTGAGGTCAAAAATTAAATTGGAGAAAAAAATCAAGTAATACTTACTGTACAAATAGTGGATAGAAGGACACATTTGGACACTGCAGCAAAATCAGGGACCAAACGTTTAAGGATAAATGAATCAGCATCATAATTAACTCTTAATTAGGACTTTATTTACTGGAATTGGAAGCCAGTGAAATAAGAAGTCACATACTTGTCTTATTCTTATACCTGTGCTTTTTATCTCATTGTAGACAAAAATTATCTCCACTTACAAAGAGAGTTATCAAAAAAAAAACAAACTTTTGACTGGCAGTGTACGATCTTGCCACCATTAACAATGTGACTGTCATGAGCCTCCTCACTGCGGTTGACACGTTGAGGAGGGTTTGCTAAGCTTAGCTGAGCGGCGTGTCACAACGGGATACGAGGCAGTTAGCTAATGTGGTGTAAAAGGATTTAGAGGATTTGACCCTATCAGTGGAGATGGTACTCAGAGAGGCTCTGTTAATGACACTAAATGAGTCTGTGCCTGCAGCACGCTAATAATGGTAGCATGAAAAGACAGGTTTATAATTTATATGGAAATTTTTTGCAAATTACTAATCTTTAGAAGTGTGTAAAAATCATGTCTGCACACATTATGTAAAGGCAAAGTAAGGTGCAGTACATTTCTGTATCTTCCCTGAATGATGAAACACAATCATTTCACACAGGCCTGGGAATTAAGTATAATCTTGTAAGTGAGCTGCTTGTCTCGCGTCCTATCACTTATTGTGTGTTGACCAGTACACTGCAATTATCTCATGTCTCCTTTTCTCCAGCTTTTTTTTTAGTTCTCTAAAGGGGAGCACAGAGATTTTTAGCAAATATCCTTTCCAGCAAATATAAAAAAAAACACCTATTTTATAGATGCTGTACCCCTGTACTTCAGGAGTACAACAGATGTTTTTCTTTGAGACAGGAGACAGAGTGGCCATTGCTACCCCCCTCATTAGTAGTAGCTTCTGTTATGTTGTAATTTATTTTTGCAGTGAGAGTAACACGGCGAAAATCAAAGTAGGAAAATCTTGGTTACACTGATGGCCCACAGGATACCCCGTAGCAAAGAGTGGAAGCCTGCTGTTGTGTGAAGCAGCTGTGAATGTGTGAATTTTCAGTAAGGTGTTGTTGGCCTGCCTGCTCAACTTTCTCTGGATAAATTCAGATTAAAGGTATCATGCATAAAATGAAATTGGACTTTTACTACTTTATTAGGTTTCCTCACATGTGCTGAAAGTCTGTAGTGGACTAATGACAAAATGTCATTCATCTTTTTTAGCCCAGTCTAACTACTGCATATACTGTATATTGCCATAGACGACCACTTTTTATCAATCATAGAGACCGATTTGATAGAAAAGTGGGATCTTACTATATTAAATGCTAAAGGAATTAGCCATTTGAGTTATGGGGACTAGATTACAGTGTCAGTCTGGTGATGCCACTGGTTGTGTTGCACTGCTGCCAAGAAGACCAATAATAAATGACAAGACAGGTTCAAGTATGAAAAGCTAAAAACTCTTTCAGGTTGGGTTCACATGCTGCAGTAAAGGAGTAAGGGAAACATTTATTTCTGAACTGTTAGGCTTTAATAGTAACTTTTAAAAATGGTATTTTAAAGGGGGAAGCTCCTTTTGTCCAGTAGGATTGACACTAACCGTACTTTATCTATTTTTATTTGCTTCTCACTATCTTTTTGCATAAAATGTAAGCAGCTTGTTTGCCTGTGGAAGGGAGCAGACTCGGCTGACAGGAAGCTGAACTCACTATGTGTCTCCTTCTAGGTGAATGATGGTACAGATCCACACTACAGCAGCCACATATGAATATACAGTACCTGTCACTGCACCATAAAAATCTGTATCACCTTTGCTTGACCGCTATATAATATCCCTCATCCACTGGCATATATCATTGTCCATGACAAGAAGTAGCATTCTTTTTCAGCCAGGGCACTGACACAGCTTGACTAGTTGGACAGGGAGGTTGAGCTGCCAACTCCTACCAACACCACCTGCTGATCAAATTCTCTTTACTGGTTTCACTGTGACAGTCTGGCCACCAACCTTGACTCACCATGCCAAGATAGGACAGGAGCTCTGTGGCCAGTGCCAGGTGGGAAGAGGAAAGAAAAGGAACAGTGGCGGAAGAGAGGGACAGAGAGAGAAACAGATGGACTAATGAGCAGAGTGAGCGAGTGCCACAGAATAAAAGAGAAAGGGCTTTCCCAGAAATGAGTTTTGTATCATGCAGAGGCAACAAGTATTTATTTAGATTTTTTGTTTGTTTGTTTGTTTATTTTTCAAGTAAAGGGCACATAATTCACTATCCAAGTTTAATTTGTTTACACATTAAGAGAGATGTTTCTATGATTATAATTATTGTTTGTTTCATCTTTTTCTGAATATTATTAGATTATTAACAGGAGATATTTGTTCACTGGCTGCTGTAAAGCTCCACATAGCTGTGGAGGTGTCTGCAGTTACACATGACTGTCAGCAATTGTTCTCTTACCAACAATGTGTGCCCTGACCCACCAGCTATAGCTTGTCTTTGTTCCACACGTTGTTTTCCATCCATTTCCAGCATTTTAACACAGCTGTTCACTGTGGGTGGTAGTGGAAAGCTGGGTTATTCACTACACAGTACTTCCCTCACAGGCCTACAGCCTGTTTGTGGTCTGGTATGGCATATAAGTGGGCATGTTTGTGTGGCTGAGCTGATAGGCACTGTTCAGTTTGTGTTTTGTGGAGTATATTAACCAGTTCTAAACCTCTTCCCTCCTTCTTGTGTTGTGTCTTTCTGTCCTGTTTGTCTCTTTTCTAGGAGTCACACTCAAAGTCATCAGTCATCTCTACTTGGCCTGGGGGTCTTCTAGAGGGTTGGGCCTCCTTGTCATTATGAAAGGGTTGGGGACTAACCGAAACAGACACTTGTCTGACTCCTGTGATCCTTCCTCGGGCCATCCAGAGGTCCTCTACCCTCAGAAGACCAGCACCCTACCACGCAGCCCTTATCTGCTGAGCCCAACAATGGACCATTATGGCACCATGGACCCCCATATATATGCTTCGGGCAACCCAGGCTCCCTTCCACCAGACTGCATGCTGCCCCTCAACAACCAGATGTCCAACAGCAGCACCTTCCCCAGGATTCACTACAACTCCTATGACCAGTCTGATTTCTCCCCACCTGGGGACAGTATTGGGGGAATCAGTACAGGGACCATTGGGACACCCATGCCAATGGGCATGGGAACAGGCATGGACATGGCAGGCCTGAGTGCAAGAACACCTATGATTACAAGTGGCTCAGCAACTATATCACATCATATGACCAAGAACCAGGTACCACCAAGCCTGCTGGAGTTTGACAAGCAGCTACCTGGGGGTCGTGATGGATTCAGCACGTTGCAGTTCCATCGAACATCTGCTGTCGCTGTGGCCAAGCAGCGAACAGACAGTCCTGGTCGTATTCGTTACATGTTGCACTCAGTACAGAAGCTTTTTGCAAAGTCCCAGTCACTGGAAACCCACCACATGAAAGGAAATGTCAATGGACGCTCTACTGGCAGTGGCGGAGGCTCGTCCAGCACAGAGAACGGAGGGAAGCAGAATCGCAGATGCAAAAGTAAAGATCGGGGTACAAAATCAGAGGCCACCACCAAGCGGCGGCCACGGTCCAACATGTCAGGTTATTGGAGCTCAGATGATTTGGACAGCAGTGATTTGAGCAGCTACCATAACACCATGGCCACGATGACTCTAGGACATCCAACTGGCCATGAAAGTCAGGGGGGACAGAGCAGATACATCCAAAGTGGATATAACACTATCAGCTCCTCCAAAAGCAGCAATGACATGAAGTATCAGGCCCTTCCTGGGCCTGCTGGTGGACTAGGAAGCATGGTAATGAACGATAGTGACTATATGAAAGGAGGGTCCTGGTCCACACTGACTATGGGCCAGCCGAGACAGGTGATCCAGAAGGGCTCAGCTACTCTGGACAGGTCCATGCTCAAGTCCAAATCTTGCCAACAGGAATTAACCTGCAACTACCTGCAGGTTGGACCAAGGGTGAGTAAGCTTAAAGTGAATGTAGTCCTTGATTTAAAAAAAGACATTTATAGAGTATTTATATTTACAGAAAAATGTGTTGATTAATACAAATATCAAGGCATTCTTATTATCATCACCACTAATACAGTGCTACAGGTTAGATCTTAAAAAAGTGAAGACTAATTTTAGCCACTGAATGTTGCCTATAGGGTGATTGGAGTAGCACATTAGGCCGTACCGGGGGTGCCAATGAAATCCCATGCCGGCGGATGCGCAGTGGTAGCTATGTGAAGGCCATGGGAGACATGGAGGACAGCGACGATTCGGAGGGAAGCCCTAAACCCTCGCCAAAAACTGCTGCTCGCCGCCAGAGCTACCTCAGGGCAACGCAGCAGTCTCTGAGCGACCAGCTACCCCCACGCAAGTAAGAGAACAGACCGTGACCTAGAACTGTGCACTGTTATGCAGTACATAGTATCACTTAACAGCAAAAGAACCAGACTCATCTTAAAGGTACAAGCTGGATTATAAATGTGAACTAAAGAAGCACAGCGATTACAGTGTAGAACCCATGACTGTGACGTGCAGTCACATAATGTTATAAATTGAGTTTTTGTTTTTGAAGTTAGAAATATCAATTGGCACAACCATTTCATGGGCATACAGGAAGGAAACTATCATACCAAGCCTCACCATGCAGGAACATGCATACAACATGCATATAGTCCAAGCTCTGCTTACTCACACATAGAATTAAATAGTGTCAGACTCCCTGTTGTCCTCCACATGTCAGTCTTACTGGCACACCTCAGCTGTGATTTACCTCCTACTGTCAGTTCCATAAAAGCATCAGTCTAACTAAGAGGATATGGACAGCATTAGTGATGTTTACACAATATGACATGGAGTTTTGTTTGCACTAAACCAGAAAATCATGGGGCACACTGTGTCTTTTCATAAAATGACATCCACATCCACATTGGTTCATTTGTATATGGGGCATTGTTAAGTCAGTTTAAGAAAGATAGATCCCTAATGATATACTCATACACATAAATACAGATACAGTCATTGTAAGTATGTTTTCATTGGCATGTATTGAACTTTGGATATTTACTCAGGTAGTTTCCAGAGACTGAAATCCTCAAGATAACATCTGTAACAAAACCTTTTATAAAACAGCTCTTATGCAGAATCTATTTGCAGATTCTTTAACAGTTGATACATTTTGGTTGGATCAGCGGTTGACTCCATTAAACAGAAACAAGAGGGCATCATATTGAGAACCATGACACATGCCAACCTGTCATACGCACCTCCACATAAATAAAAGATTTCAAATTCCTTTAAAGTTTGTTTACAAATGTAAGGACTTATTCTCCCCTAAAGCATGCTTGAGTGACTAACCCTACTCCCCCTGCCAATCCCTCCTGCTCCACCCTGATTGGCATGAGCAGCAGAACCCTGGATTACACCTTTTTGCAGGGGGAGCTGGATGCCCTGTGGTCTCCGCTCCACAGTGTGTCCTCTCTGCAGCAGCTGGGCAGGTCAATGAGCAGGTCAGTGATAGGTCTGTAAGGCACGTCTCATGGGCGTCGTGCAAAACACTTAATGTCTGATTCTTTGATCTATCATCAGTGACTTTGCACCGCCCCACTCAGATGTCAGTAAAGTCAGTGGCAACTCCAAATGCCAAATTCATGCCCTGCTGCCAACAACTGCCAGCCTCCCTTCTGCTTGTAAATGCCATCTGCCCAGTGCTTTTAGGTAGAAAGTTTGACACTGCTCAAATACAGAAATGACAGGGCATATGTGTGCATAGACCATGGCATGGCAGTTTACTGCCATGCTACAATCACTGTGTGCCACCAAAGAATGTGTAAAAAGATGGACAGAGTGATTTTCTTTTAGTTTGATTAAAGTTGAGCCTGTTCTTTGGTGTTGGCACCATGATGGCACAGAGAGCTGTGTACATGTGTCGCCTATCATGACTGGCTTTGCATGCTCAGATGGTACAATGATTAATACTAAAATCTAATTAGAAGAAATTGGTCGATTTGAGAGTCTCTTTCAGTTCCCGGTTTTGCTGATCATCCATTTTCTCCCCGATCCATGTTAATCTTCTGCCTCCTTGTCGTCATACATTTTATTTGTCTTTTCCCTCAATATGTCCTCATACACTTCTGACTTTGCTTTTTAATTTTCCTCCTTATATTTCATATCCTTACCATATTTCTTTTATTTCCTTTCTCCTCTCATCTTACGCCCCAATTTAGCTGTCTTCCGTCTCTCAGAGAGCTCTCCAATAACCGCAGCTTGGACAACCTAGACTGCATCGGGAGCACAGGCTCCTCTTTGCCACGCTGGGACGACGACTTCAGCCAGGCCTGCAGCACTCTGAGCAGACGTAGCTGCATGGGACAGGTCAGTGCTCGTCTGGAGAGAACAAACATTATTGCATTAAAGCTGTCAGAAGCCAAACAATGACCTCCTGTTTCCTCCTTCTCTTTTTGTCTCTTTGCTCTTTAGTTTCACTGATATTTTTCTAATGAGTTATAAGTACGTTTGCACTTGCTCAAAGCTTAACCCTAACAATCTAGCAAATGTTCTTCCTTTATCTACCCTGTGCTGCACTCATTTGCACAGTATAATTTTCATTTTCACAGATACTGCTTGAATGACAGTAATAAAATGAGCTTCCAATGAACAAAGAACCCCTTTCCAGCTGTATCTCATATTAATGTTATGAAACCAAAAGCCAAATGAATGACTTTGGTAACTATTAAACTCCCACTGACAAGGTCATTTTTTTATTTTATTTTATTTTATTTTTTTTTACAGAACTAGCAGTGCAGGCTGTTAGTACAGGATTTACACCAGGCCACTGCATTATAACAGGGTTGAACTTTCTCCAAAACAAGAGTGTCCTTTACAGGCACATTCAGCTGGGTAATTAGTGGTCACCTCCACTGCTGGGAGCAGTTACTGTGATCAAACTGAACACACTCACATAGCACTGTTCTCCTTGCGACACTGCTGCTACATCTTTGACAACCTTGTATATACCTCCCTCCAGCTAAGGGACCCAGAAATGAGCCACCATTATGAGGACCGCAGCTCCGAGTCCACATTCAGAGATTCCCGTTCCCACTCTCAGGACAACCCAGACCCTCCAAACTTGCCCATGCCAACATGCTTCCGATCCCGTAGTCACAGCTACCTGAGAGCCATCCAGGCCGGCTGCTCCCAGGATGACGACACAGTGTCTATAGATTCAGGCTGCTCACCACCTCCATCTGACACCACTGTTCACAGCTACAGCACCAGCACTGGTGAGTCACACACTGACAAAAAGATGATGCATTTGCTGCAAATGAATTCATCTGACCTCGTGAACCATATAAGGTGCTAAAAAGGTGAGTCCTAACCCTGATGCAGTATTATGTTTTGCCAGACATGCACAATACTTATAGTATATACCTGTTTAGGTTATTTATTTGGTTATTAAACCTTGGTCATTTTGCAAAGCTGTGCTCCCTTTTCTGGAACACATGGGCCAAATTCTTCTTTTGAGTTGTATTTTCCATAACATTACTTTGAATGCTCTTCATAGCTTTGGTTTTGGGTGGGACACTAGACCTCCAACATGCACACAAAAGCATTTTTAGCTCAAATGCAGCCTCTTTTCCCATGCTAGACAGCCTTTCTACCTAATTTAAGACACGGAAAGAACAGTCTAGCTCTTACCTGAGAGCCACAGACTTGGACAAAGCCCCAAAGGAGAAACAACTTGCAATTTTTCTTCAGTGTTGCCCATCCTACCAACATACACAGGGAACAGTTTGACACCAGCTCATGTCCCCTAAAAAAGCTGTTTAATCAACTTACAGTTACCATTTCATGGATTACAAAAGAAAAACTTTTGTAAAAGACGTTTTGTAACAAAGTAAGCTATACTTTTCAATGTGATATTAGTACTTTTACTTAAGTAAAGGAGGTGAATAGCACTACTGGTGCTAACATGCAAACTAACATGCTTTAGTTATATAACATGTTATAGTTAGATGCTGTTTTTTAAATCATCTTTATAATTTGTTTATTCTTTAGGGTCAATCTAGCTGCAGTCCAGCTCAATCAACTGGCACAGTTACCTGCAATTTAAAAAAAGACCCTTTTTCATTCTTCTGTTGGTCATTGTAGCTGATAATAAGTGTAATTGTGCAATAACATATGCTGTAATACCGTGAAACCGTGATGTTTTCTTGTCATACTGTGAAAATCTCATACTATTGCAACCCTACTTGCCATCTTGAATTTGCAACAGCAGAGGAACTGTGGATGTGTGTGATGACACATTTTAGACAAAGAAGCTTTGTACTGGTTGTTGACACCTGAAAGCTCTCTGAGTTCAGAATTATAGAGCGGATTTATGTGTATCTGCTTAGGTTATATTAGCACAGAGCATCCACACTATGGCACTCCTCACAACAGCCTTCTAAATAGATCACAGAGCATGCTGCCTTCATGCTAACAGACTTTCCTAGTTTCTAGTCTGCTATAGCTGAAGATGTCTAGGATAGTCTGAATTTGCTATTAGTATGTTCCAGTCAACTGGTATTTTCTGACAGCTGTTAATGGCTGATTTTTGCATTTCTGTTTCAGTTTGTTTTGTGTTTGTTTGTTTGGTGGAAATTAAGACAAGTTGCTTGTTCAGAAACCTGATGGAAGCAACAGGCCCCTAGTTTTTCAGTATTTATTTCTCTAAATTGTTTTGATGTTTTTATTTTGTACTGTAGGGCACTAGTAGTGATGTGTGTTTTAGGTGTTTTGTGTGTTCAAATATGCATAGTACAGCCTTAAATATGTTAGGAAATTCAGTGTTTCAGTTGTGTATTAGTGCAGTAGTGGAAAAAATACTCAGATTTTTTATTTAAAAAAGCAGCAATACCACAGTTCTGATAAGCTGTTAAATCCTGCATTCAACAGTATACTACTAAATATACTACATACTTCTAAAAGTACAGTCTTGTTAAAGTCTTAGTCAGTAATACTCCATCAAAAGTTCTTAAGTTATCAAATAACTGTTGTGGGGTTACAAAGTACAATATCTGCATCTGAAACAACATTATTTAGAACTTTGTGGCAATGCCTATAAAGATAACTCTTACAGGAACACACTGTCTAGAGACATTCAGAACAATACTATACAATACCTTTGAATGTTTTATTTCACACTGCTATCCATCCATCCATCCATTTTCTATACCGCTTAGACCCAAATGGGGTCACGGGGGGCTGGAGCCAATCCCAGCCAGCTGCGGGTGAGAGGCGGGGTACACCCTGGACAGGTCGCCAGTCCATCACAGGGCTTCACGCTGCTATTTTAAAAAATTATATCCGCATTAGTCTCCATATCTCTCCGTGTTCTGGGTCAGGCCATATAATATCATCTTCTCGTTACAGTCGACGTATCTGTAGGAATAATCTGACTATTCAGAGCATTCATGCAACCTTTTGAGTTGTCCTTCTGATGTTTCTCAAACATCTGAGTTGCAGTGATAGTGGCATTACTCATTCGGCAGAACTTTTAGTACACTGGAATTGTTTGCACTTTATTTTAAAATAAGCTTAATCCTTGCCAGGCAGTCTGGTGTGTCTTATCCACCCACATCCCCACAGGCCTCTTCCACTGGCACCAAAAGGTTTTCCGCTATGTAAGGGTTTCTGTGGTTCATGTTCCACCACCATGCAAATTCCTCAATGCGGCTGAAGGAATATGCAAGTAAAACAGGATTTGTGAATGTGGGAAGGTCACTGAAGCATGCATGAACCACAGCAGCATGCTGGAAACTGACATTATCTCAAATGATAATGTTCTGCTCTGGTTGCCCCGGCTCCCCTTGCTGCTGAAGATGCTTGAAAGGTTGATCTAGGAATGCCAGTAGATGTGCTGTGTTATATGGACTTAAAGGACAGGCCAATGGTGGACCCCTTGTTTAGAGTGCTTGACCTCTAGCACCTCTCAAATGTCTTCCACCTTCTGCTTAGTTAGGATCCATTGTTCATTGCTCATTGCACATTGGCACATCAGCAGCTCAGTTTATATAATCCTGTCATAAATGTTTTGCCTGGAAAAAGGAGTGCTCATTTAGTTCAAAGGGTGATAAATTGAGTTTATTGTGTTGACTGTACTTGTTTGCTGAACGAGCATAAAGTGCAATGAGTGATTAATTTGACCACTTTTGTGTTGTTTTGCATAAAAAAAGGCTTAGCCTACATTTTGGAATTTTTACTGTTATGGGAAAAGTTAATATCTTTTGAAAAGTGAGACAAGGGTATGAATGTCCATGATAATAGGCTAGTCTGTTAGTGTGGGGGGGAAATGTAAAATAAATACTCTAGTGTTTAAGAAACGGGTATGTAGCGTGTGTTTTAAAATGTTTGTGTGTGTGTTTGAGAAAATCGGGGAAAGCTGCAATGGGCACCAAAATCACATTTACAGTACATTCATCAACCGTGGAAGTTAGATTGTCCGAGGCGCTCTTGAAGGCATCAGAGCATGGCGTCACGCCTCCATCGGGCTCAGAGACGCTCCAAACAAAGGCGTCCAAACCCGGTGTTCTTCTTCCAGATAGAGTTGTATATGTCGACTACGGTTCCAGCTGCTTTGCATTTAGCTGAGCCTTGACTCAAGACACTGCTGTGTTGTTTATTAGTCTGTCCCTCTCATCAGGGTAAGTAGACTAGTTGAACCGTGTTCGTTCGCGACGCGTCTGTTGATGGGACGCTCTTTAACCGCCGGCCAGACGTAACACCGCGCTACCAAACTACAGAGTCTCTCTACTCTCGGTTTAACTTTAAAGCCCGGTTTTATATCACGGTGTGGGTGTGTTGTTGACTATGAATTTAACCGTATCAACTTAGAATTTAACCATATCAACTTAAGCAGGTGTTGGTGGACATTATCTCCGGAAGAGTTTAACCTACACAAAACCTATACGTTAAGTGCTTCTAAACTGTGGGTATATATATAGTTCTCTATTTGTTATAATTACTTTATTTCCCTGACGTACATTCATTTTTCTTTTTTTCTTTCCTCCTTGTTATTTCAGTCTTATGTTGTATACTTGTCTATTCGTTACTTTGCAGAAGGACATACACACTGAGAGCCACTGTACCAGAGTCAGATTCCTCCTGTGTCCAATAAAGCTGATTCTGATTAAGAGAATCAATCATTTTTGTTTTACTGTCAGTTTGATATCTCCAGTTTCTGGCTGTTCTCTCTGCTTACTGATATTTTCCACAGCTGACACTATTTTTTTTAAATGATTTATGGGCTATTATACTTCCAGTGATCATATCAAGTTTAATTTATATAGCACCTTTCATACAGGTTCATGCAGTTCAGTGTTTTACAGATAATTGATGATTAGTCAAAATAAGGCAATTAGGTAAAAATGAGAAACACACATTTTTAAAGAAATAATACAGATTCATAAAATTAAAATTGTGTGCAGTCGACTGTGTAAATCATTGAGTATTTCTTACTGTGTGTTCAATACAAAGTGCTCTGTTGCTGGCAGCAGAGAACCATGTTCCTGCTATGTGTGCGCTCTGACTGTGATACCTCTCTATGGGAGTCAGAATAAGTGGGCTGCTGTTACACTGTATGAGGACAAGATATCCCTAGTTGTCTGGATGGCCTGTAGCTCCCTACGGTTAAATGCATTCACCTCTTCATAAAAGCTGCTTCTTTTTGGCCTGTGAATTGCAGCATGGATTAAACCCCATTTTGAGGTCATGTTTATTAAAAATGTTGGGTACCTTTTTAGCTATGCTGTTAGCGAAAGCATATAATATAATTGAGATACTAGTTTTGTTGAGAAGGGAGTGGTGATAGTTTCAGACAAGGTTGTCTGTGGCTGTTATTGGATTAAACAATGAAGGAAGCATCACAATCAACCTTTTGTCTTTCATCATTTGTCCCTCTGTCCAGCTGACCACAGCACAGCACCACCTAAATCACTTGGCTTAGACCAAAAGTATCATCTTCACTGTTTTACTGGTCCCCAAAATTATTGAGGCTGTTTGAGCACACTGACATGCACTGGCTGTTATGCTTACTTTCCATTTTTTTATTTTTATTTTTTTGCTCACACTGGATCCTTCTAAAGACAAACAGTAAAATGCTATTAACAGGCAGGAGCGTGTGGCTTCTGCCACAGTAAATTTTCTACCTTAATGGGTTTTCTTTGCTTTTGTGAGCATGTGGCATGATCTAATCTGTTAGTGTGTGTTACGCTGCTGATGCATCACTGGAGAATTGAGAAGTTTTTAAAATGTGTTTTGGCAAAACATCAGATTCTATAGTGGTGACGTCGCTGGGTTGGAAACTGTTTTCAGCTGTAGCTTGTTTGCCAGTCTTGGAAAAACACATTTGAATCAGTCCCTGGAAGGGACAACACCACCACTGTCCAGATGGCATGAAAACAGCAGGGCTCAGTACCCACTCCAGATTTTAGCTCAAGCATTTTGGCACAAAGTGTCTGATTGTTTCTCTTGTTAGAGTCCCTTCTGAAGAGCGACCAGTGATTTCTATGGAGCAGCTCCCGGACGGTGTCGGCTTCATTAAGGAGCAACCGTATTTAGCTTTATGTCCATTTTTGCAGCCTGTTTTTATGGTACTGATGAGTGTTTGGGTTTTTTTTTTAATGGTTTCTATCATCATTGGTACTATTGTGAGTAAATTGTATGCATTTAAGGATGTGTTTTGTGCTTGCACAGCTGTTTGTGTTTGTGTGGCAAAGTTCTGTAAAGTAAGCAAATGCAGGAATCTGACAGAATCAGACAGAGCATGTGCCATGTACCATCTGTCTGTGGAAAGTGCATGGGTGCATTTTCTAGCTTTAACAGGCATTTATCACAAATCAACTGGATTCTGTTTTCTACCCTATAAAAATCTAAAAATATGGTATAAAAATCTGTTTTTGTTTTTAATTTTATCACCAATTATTTGCCAGCTTCACTGATGAGATCTGGGATGTCACAGTACCAGTAGTCACAGCCATAGTATCATATGAACTGTAGATAATGTGGTTAAACTCAAAACTTGTTTAAAACCTGTCTGATCAGTCAGTTACGAGGATGTCACCATTGTTGAGCTGTATCTGGGAGATTCACAACATCCTCGTATCTCATTACTGAAATTAGAAATGTATGAAAATATCAGATGATGTTACATCAGCCAGTTTTCATTTTCAATGCTGACACAACGTGCAAACATTTTTCTATTAGATCTCTTACATTTGGTGATTGGTGATCAAGATATGTACTTGCAGGACATTTTACAGCTGAGCAGGACCAAGTTTACACTGCCATTCTAGTAGCTCTGTGAGACTGTATCATGGTACTTGAAGTTAAAGGTTAACTTTAGCATGCTAACCTGCTTGCATTGATAATGCTAAAAAGACAGGACAAGCACACTCTACAATTTGTAGTGCAGATACAAAGACCATAAAACCTTTTTTTGAAAAGCAGCAACAATGCTAACTTTTTTTCAGGTATCATGTTCTCCATGTTTGTCATTTTAGGTTAGTTTGTTAGCACAGTAACAGTTGCTAGGATCCCCTAACACAAACCACAGCTGAGGTTTTTAGTCAGTATTTAGTCATACATCAAAGTACTGGACAGAATAATATTTAAACCTAATGGTGGTTGGCAGTAGTCAGGTGATCACCAAAGTTGTTACATTTATATCCTGAATGGAATAATCTGTAAGTTTCATGGCATCCATCCAATAGTTAAAGAGCTTCAGAGATACGTTGTGTTAGTCTGGACCAAAGCAGTGGACTGACAAACATTACCATGTGTACAGATGCCTAGAAATCTTATTACATTGGCAAAAAATACATTTGTCAGTACATGACTACACTGTCCAAATCAAAACAGATGATCTTTTCCATTTCTCTGCTATAGTTTTTTATTCAGTGGCCAACAGTATTGATATATTTATAATAAGCTAAAATTGGCCTAGCTCATTCATTGTTTATCTCCTTTCTAATCTCAGAGGGAGATGTCTTTTTTTTATTTCAGGGCTTGGCTTGTTTTTGGGTAAAGCAGGTTCAGTGGTATTAAGGGTGAATTGTGTTCAGAATGACAAAAGCATGATGTGGCACTTGGAGAGCTGCAGGGCAGGTGTCCAAACTGTCCCCTCTCACAACCAGGCACAGTGATGGTTATCTTACAGAGCGGGATCCGGGAGTGGTGCCAGTGTATCACCAACATACTGTATATTGCTGTCATGAAAGGGAAAATGGCCCATGAAAAACTGTCTCAGCAGGTTTTTCTAAGACAAGAAAGTCAGACGTTGGAGGCTAATCCATGGCAAGTGGCATTGTGTAGCTCTGATGGATGCTAAACTAGCTTTCTTACTGTGCATTTTTAGACTGCATTTCACTTTTATAAGATGCCAAGCTGTCCTGAAAGTATGACAGCTGTAGATTTTGCTGAGATGCTGTGGTTGATGCATTCATTTACTACCATGTGGATGCCAGGGACAGATAGACTGGGTTGGTGGTTTCCAAGTTTAAAAAGTGAAGCTGAGGGTGTATTACAGTTTTCGAGGTATCACACCTTCCCTGGAAAAGCTTATGTTCAGCCACCGGTATGCATCCTCATGCATTTGAAGCTGTGCTTAATTTGTAAATTATGAGGTAACTTTCGACACAACACCAGCAGCAGGAGTTGTGCACGTTCAGAACTATCCTCTTGTTTTTAAGAAAAGGCTTTCAGGTTTTATCATTCTGAGTTATGAAGGGTGCAAAGCTAATCTAGAGGTACCCAAGATTAAACATTAAATGGCTGGAGATGAGCATGTCATGAGCTGTCAAACATATTATATTCAGAATATTACAGCAATATATTTAAAGCACACCAGAGACTAGGCCTATATAATGCAGCAACAATAAATAAACATGTTCTTGCCTTCAGTTATAGTTAAAACAGCCAATAACACTGTCATGGATCAGGAGTCCATAACATAATACATAATGGCTGAACTTTACAGAAAGGTATGGGCCAACTTACCAGAATCAATAAAATGGTCAATAGAGTGTTTAGAACCCATTAAAGTAGATTTTGAATTGGTAATGCCATCCTAAGGCATACACCTTGCTTTCATTTTCACTGAAGAAGCATTATGAAAAAATGTCACTTTTGGCTTTTTCCCGTTAGGGGTCGCCACAGCGAATCGTCATTGTGACATTTGGCACGTGTTTTACACCCAATGCCCTTCCTGGCGCAACCTTGACTCAAACCTGGGCCACAGCAGTGAGAGTGCTGTGCCCTAACCACTAGTCTATCAGGGAACCCCCACTGAAGACGCATTTTATACATATAATTATTAGTAGCAGTATTTGGTGTCTGAGTCGAGTGATGCAGAAAAGTGCTCTCCTTCAATGTGTCTACCATAATTGGTATAAAGAATCAGATGGTCAGCAAACTGCTTTAATGATTTCATCACCGGTCTCATGATTGAGGCTTTGAAGTGGAATATGTGTGATTTTGATTTGTCACCTTTCTTGTTCCTCTTGTCTCCTCCTCCTGTCTTTCTCTTTCAGTCTCTACCTGTAGAAAAGCTGCTCCTCCACCAGTGCCACCCCGTACATCTTCCAAGCCCTACATCTCTGTGACAGTACAGAGCAGTACAGAGTCTGCCCAGGACAACTACCTGGACCAACAGGACCGGAGGTCAGAGGTCAACAGCCAGTCCAGCCACGCTCACAGCAACTCCTCCGACAGTCTTGACAGCACCCGTGCCAACAGCCTGGCTCGGGGTATTCCCCGCCCTCCGCACATCTTTCCCACTCCCATTGCCACTCCGAGAGAGCCACTTGTCCCTACCACTGCCAATGCTTTCACTGAGACAAGTGACTCAGTAGTCCAGCATGAATCTGGGAAATCAGGATTAAATAAAGGAACTCTAGCAGCTGAGGAGCCATTTGTGGCCCCGGTACCCAGGCGGAAACTGTCCTCCATTGGTATACAGGTAGGTCACACACTATCCAGGGCTGACACAGGGAGTCACTGTTGTAACTAAACAAGAAAACATATTAACACAGTCATTGTAGTGTCAAAGTTATAATGTTTTCTCAAGCGTAGCTTGTTTCATCTGTCCAACTTGAGTGCAGGAAATGAATCGCTTGGCGTGTCACCTCAAGCCAAAAAGTGTGCGTGTAAGCTAACGGTCTCACTAGTGTGGGCATTCCTCTGTCATTAGAGCCGACTTTATACTGTAGGCTAGAAGGCAGGAAATGTAGGTTTGTTTCCCCTCTCAGAGAACTCGGTCAGGGCGCCTGTTAACTGTGACAGCTTATTAAAAATAAAACTCAAGCATTTATCTTATCATTTGGAAATTAAGAACCTCAATAACTGTACTAATGCTAAAGAGACATCATTAATTATAAAATCACTGAAGCCAAAACCTATTTGAGTTCATTGCTTTCACTGATTATATGTTACTCATGTCATTTATTTGTTCTAAGGTTGACTGCATTCAGGAAGTTCAGCGAGAGGAAACCCCACCATTGGCCAAATTTCAGTCAATTGGAGTACAGGTGGAGGACGGGTGGCAGTAAGTCCTCTTCCTGTCCTTGTAACAACGTGAGGAATTTATTTTATAGCCCCCCACACACTTCTCTGACTGTTCTTTCCCTTTATAGGAGTTATGTAGATGTTGGTGTCAAGTTTTCTTGTCTGCAAAACAATCTTTGTGTGTTGTGTTGGTGACATAAATCTTCTTAACTTGTCTCTGCTCAGTGTGTCTGTGAGACCCATGTCTTCCTTGCTGCAGTGTGGTTTACATTCTGTGCTTGTGGTGCTTTGAATGGCAGGAAGTTCTGGGAAGTCTCGTGTCTTCCTCCTGTATTTTCTTACTTTTTGCTCACCACATTTGGAGTTCTCTATATAGCAGCAGCTGCTGAGCCCTGGCAAATATTTTACCAGTATTTGTACCTTTTTTATACAGAGCATTGTTTTATTGAACCTGTACACTTGTGCTGAATGACACACTCTGATCAGTACTGTTTATTTATACCTGTATTGACCAGCAGAAACGGCCCAGTGTTTAAACCAAGCAGCACTTATTGTTCCAGTAACGGAGATGGTATTTTGAATCATTTATTGTTTTCATAAAATATTTGGCAGAAATGTTTAGTCTATTGAAAAGGCTGTTTCTCACCCTGTTTATTTCAGGCTCAGTCATTCCAGTAGCATGGCCTCAAAACAAGAAACGGACTCAGACACACAGGACATCCCAGTCATCTCCCATATCATTAATGCCAAACCCACTGAAAAGAAAGCAATGGTCAATAGTGCTAGCCAGTCCATGAGCTCCATTCCTGGACAGGACTCTTTAGACAATAGAGACACTATCAGTGGCACCTCTTCACCTCCACCTCCCAGGCAGATCCTCAACCGCTCCACCACACGAAGCAGCTCGTCCTCCTTCTCAGAAAGCTTGGACCCGGCGCTGGACCCCTCGTCTCTGCCACCTCCGGATCCCTGGCTGGACAGTGGGAATGGCAGTAACAGCAGTGTACCCCAGAGTGAAGGAGGGGGAACGCTGTGTCGAAGGGACGGCCACTGGTTCCTGAAGCTGCTCCAGGCAGAGACGGGGCGTATGGAAGGCTGGTGCCAGCAGATGGAGCAGGAGACCAAAGACAACCAGCTCTCAGAGGAGGGTAAGACGAGGGTACACTACAGAGTGAGTATTTTTGAGTATTTCTTTTGGGTTGTCCTTTCATCCATCAATCAGATCCATTCATATGAATGCGATATTTCAGGAACACCTTGAGAGGATTTATTCAAATTTGTCATAAACATCACTTGGACTCTTGTAGGAACTGACTAGATTTTGGTAGTCAAAGGTCAAGGGCACTGTGACCTTTCATAACGCAAGAATTCCTACTCCGTTTATAACCAGATTTCACACAAATATCTAATAGGTTAAAATTATGAAGTGATGAAAGGTCAAAAGTCAGTATCACTGTGGCATCAATGTTCAGCAAAAGCACTTTTCTTTTGTCTGTTTATTCAATGCCTAAGGAACAAAAGGGGAGACTGACATTTGGTCAGACACTAATCTTGGTGCCCACCTTGAAACTGTGGTGACTTTATGGCTGTCAGTACTACCAGGTTGAAGGTGTGTGTGTGTGTGTGTGAAGCCTCCATGTTTTAGAATATGTACAGTAGTGTCTTTGCAGCAACATTTGACGCATTGTTTACTGTCATGTCTCTGTTTTCTATCAGAATCAACTTTACTGGCCAAGCAATAAAACCTCCACCAAAAAAGACATTTTGAAGCAAATTATACAATTTCACAATGAAAATATAGAAGTTCTACATAAATACTGCGTGTTTATTTATTACAATCTTGCCTGGTTGGCAGAGGCACAGAACCGCAGTGTGGTAATTCTAGTTTTTAAATTGTTTCCACACCAGCTGGAGGAGCCTGTACGTCGCAGTGGGAGCAGAAGTTGCAAACTGGAAACAAATGGTTCAAAGTTCCATTTACATTTTAAACATTCCATTCCAACTTTTATTTATAAAGAACTAAAAACAACCAAAGTGGACCAAAGTGCTGTACAGTGTAAATAACAATATACATTAAAAATAAACATAACTTGCAAGTACAGATAAAATCAACACCAATATAAAATATCAAGAAGCCAACGAGAATAAATGAGTTTTCAAAAGGGACTTAAAAACAGGCAAAGAAGAGGCTTGTCTGATGGGCAGTGGTTAAATCATTCCACTTTGGGAGCAGCAGCTCTACTCTCAAGTTAGTGGAATGAACATCTGTCACTGAAATGAAGTGAAGTTACACGGTTTGGCTTAGAAATGGCGAAAACAAAGGCAAATGTGCAGTCAAAGCATTGCTTAAGTCAAACATTGCCGACCCTATGATTGAACCATGCATCTTGAGTCTCCCTCCAGAGCTCTGATGCTGTTCAGGGCTCTACCACAGGGTTCTGCCTCAGGCCCCACAATCGCTCTGTCAGACATACTCAGCATGGAGGAGATGAGGCAATAATAGCTGGGGTTACCACACACAAACAGGCCTGTAATCCCCAGAATTACACAAATCTAGTCTGGAACTGATTAAACCTCCAGATTAAATTAGTGCTTCAACATCAGCCGGACAAGGCATAGAGCAGTGAGCACACACCAATACACGCTGTTCACACAAACAGTGGGAAGACTTTGGAATATTTTAATCCGATGTGATGGATCAATGTATGAACAAGGCCCTGCATGTCTTTGTGAGTACATATGTTTATTCAAAAATAAGTGTGTGTTTGTGTGTGTGAGAGACCTTTCACTGTAAAGGCTTTAGCATTAAAGCTGATGTAAATCTGTAGTCCAGAGCTGGGTCTCGCCACGGTATAATCACATTGCCATAACTTTGCAATCCAGTGATCAGATAGGAGTCCCAATTTTGTGAGGTCAGATGTTTGTCCTACTTTTGTCACAGCAACAGAGTAGCAAAGTGAGCAGTGATGACAGAAGCCTGGAGTATCTGTTTGTGCTTAGATGCCTTTAAAGACGCAAACACTGTCCAATACACAGCAATCCTGTGGGGTTGGTTGGACAAGGCACTGCAAGGCACACCTATATGTGTAGACCCCTGCAGGAAGCTTTGTGATGTCAATCATGTGCAGTATAAGCCAGAGAACAATAGGTGGCATATTAGGATGTTTTTGAGATAATCTAAAAATAAATGTCTCATTTATGTGTGTGTGGTTTTTTTTTTGTTGTTGTTGTTGTTGTTTGTTCGTGTGTATTCTCTCCTCAGTGCTGGGGAAGGTTCGCAGTGCAGTAGGAAGCGCCCAGCTCCTCATGTCCCAGAAGTTCCAGCAGTTCCGGGGACTGTGTGAACAAAACTTGGTGTGTATTTTGACTTTCTGTGACACTTCCTTTTTACACGTCTGCCCAGGTACAACACTAAAATTCACCAACCCCAGAACTAAACCCAGTGTTTTATTTTGGTTGCTCTGTCTTCTGCTAAATATGCCTCAATTTCACAAAAATGAAAACTGACTAATCTGGGAATATCCATGACATACATCATATTAGACCAGCACAAAATAAGGCACGGTGGCCTACAGCACAATATGCAAGAAGCTTATAATAAGCCATACCTCTGAAGTCACGTGTGCTAGAATTATACAAATTGTAGCCAACTGCCAACTATTGATTACTTCTATGATTGCTTGATTAATCAGATGTATAAAAAAATGCAGAAATCTATTTTTCATATTAAGAAAACAAGAATGCTTCATTTAAACAATGATTTTGCAGTGCGTCTATGCAGGTCATTATTAAATAAAATCAATTATTTGTGCAAGAATAGAGCTTTTTGTAAAGGCCACAACTGGTCCTTATAGTGTTAATAAAATCACTAAAATGTTTATGATTTAAAATAATCTATGTATTTATAAAACATACTGTGCTAATGTAAAGGGCCAGTACAAACCTGGCTGACAGTTAAAGTTGTACCTGAACAGTCCTCAACAAATTTACCCTTAGGCTGTGTGCTCTGCACTGTCCCCATTATCTTGCATGTGTTGTTCACTTATGTAACATAGTTTTACTTGTTGTGTTTAATATAACGCTCGTGTGGCAACACGAGGGATGATTTAACTATGACTAAACATCTTGTATTAATATTTTGGACATAATGCAAATTGGATAGGGGATCTGCTTAGCATATCTACATACAGCTGTAATCCTAAGCAACAATTGCTCTGCTGCTCCTTGATCTTCACCCGTCGATTAGCGCGATAAAACACTGCACAATTGTGTTTTGCCCAAAATACCCTGATCACAGATCACAGCGGTGGATGCAGCTGTTTAAATATGAAGAACTGAGTGGAGACTGCACAAACACCTTTACATCTACTTGAAAGTCTGTGCAGGCTTTGCAAAGACAAACACAGAGACAGCTGTTTGTGTACAACTGAATGTCGCATCACTTCACTTTGCTTAATGGATCATAAAGTGTTACTTTAAAATTTAAATATATTTATTCGGCTGTAACTTGTTAGGGACAAAGTGCTGGTGGCAGCTGTTAGGTACTTTCTTAGTTAGATAGATATTGATTAGAGATCTGTTGTATTAGAAGATGTTAGTGTAGCCAGAATGTCTTCCTCAGGCTGTTAAATGCAAGGTTAGTTAAAGCAGAGAAAGGCTGCAGTCAGGGATAAATGTTATTATGACGGTAAAAGTAACCATAATATTTTTCTTAATGTGAATTGTTGTGTTACAGTGTTTTTAGCTACACACCACTTAACCAACAGACATACACATTCACACGTTGATTTGCTTCATGTTGTGACTACTGCCAGAGCCAGCTGCAAGGCTGGTGAGAGAGAGACGTCTCGGTTGACGTTTCTGTGTAGGAGGGGGCTAGCCCAACGAATTGATTAAATTGTATAGGCTATTAGGTTCGGGGTTTCTGCTTCCGGGCTGCCTGCGAGCAGCTTTGGGGGTGGAAGATGCCTGGACGTGTAATGTTAATTGTTGCCTGTGACCCTTTGAATAAACCAGCACGGTTATATTTTTTATATACTCAAGTGGTCTGAGTCGTCCCTCTGAGTTCCTGGTTTGAAAGAACCGGACGAGGCTTTTTAATAGAATAAAGCCTTTACAGCAAAAGGTGAACAGACCCAGTCTGGACCTGGACTTTTGCCCAGACAGTCCTAACAGCCAGTCCTTGATATCACCACATTCTGAGTACTGGTTCATATATTATGCTAAAATGGAAAAGGAAATGCCTGATTGGCTCATGGGACTCCTGAGACAGCTGACGGGTACTGGCAGGCCAAGCGGGCTGCAGCTCAGGCGGTTGCGGAGGCAAAAACTCGGGTCTGGGAAGAGTTCGGTGAGGCCATGGAGAAGGACTATCGGTCGGCCTCGAAGAGATTCTGGCAAACCGTCCGGCGCCTCAGGAGGGGGAAGCAGTGCCCTGCCAAAACTGTTTACAGTGGAGGTGGGCAGCTGTTGACCTCAACTGGGGACATTGTCGGATGGTGGAAGGAATACTTCGAGGATCTCCTCAATCCCGGCGCCATGTCTGCTGATGCGGAAGCAGAGGCTGAGGGCTCAGAGGTGGACTCGTCCATCACCCAAGCTGAAGTCACTGAGGTAATCAAGAAGCTTCTCAGTGGGAAGGCACCGGGGGTGGATGAGATCCGCCCTGAGTACCTCAAGTCTCTGGATGTTGTTGGGCTGTCTTGGTTGACACGCCTCTGCAACGTCGCATGGCGGTCGGGGACAGTGCCTCTGGACTGGCAGACCGGGGTGGTGATCCCTCTTTTTAAGAAGGGGGACCGGAGGGTGTGTTCCAACTATAGGGGGATCACACTCCTCAGCCTCCCCGGGAAAGTCTATGCCAGGGTACTGGAGAGGAGAATTCGACCGATAGTCGAACCTCGAATTCAGGAGGAACAATGCGGTTTT